GCATTAACAACTGCGACATTGTCTCTTTCAGCGGGAGCCAACTTGTCCTAAATTTGAGCCTTTGACGAGTGAAGCCTTTCACGGTTTCTGAAGGAGCCTTGGAAAGAGCTCCAAATTTTCCTAAACAATAAAAAACTTCTTTCTCACCTTAAGTATAACGCGTTCAGTCAGGTGCTTCAACATTTGAGCGTGATCTCCAATGAAGAAAGTGTGCGGCATGTAGGCGAGCTAGATTGAAGAATTTGTAAAACGAATATTTTATTGTAAGAAAACGAAGGAAAGAACCTTTTCTGTGTAAGCGTGTGCAAGTCGAAGCGGAGATGTTACAGCGTCAGTGATAATGTAGTCCATGAAGGGTGCTCCAGAGGTACCAGGATATCCCAGCCACATAACCTGAACGTCGATTCAATGGATATCTCCAGGAAAAGACTCATTTATCTACAGAATCCTAACAGAGAAATTCAGAGAGAGAAAAAGCACATCCCACGAAAACAGATAAATATGTAGCTTTACTAAACTACAAGCCCTTCGATGGTGGGTAGATGTAATAAGTAAAGCCGAGGAGTAAAGTCAGGAGCAAGTCTAACGGGATTGACTTATTATTAGCAGTGCTTAGTAATTGCCTAAGTTCAAACCTGAATCGGAGCTGGTCGCAGAGCGAATATTTCATTTCGAGCGCCTTTTGTATAGCCATTCATATTTATTAGAATATGGATTCCATCCTGGTTTATTCGATCAGCGGCCTTTCCATTACATGATATCTGTGAGCAGTTCATCAAAGTTTAGCTAATTTTATTAATATCCTCAATCACGAAGTTAGCCAGTAGCTCAATAGATTAGCCTACCTGTGACAAATCAACGAAATGCTCTGCCTCATTTATGAGCTTCTGACGGAAGTTGGTGCCATCATTGGCCGACAAAGCATAACAGAACACCTCAAATACAGAGCGAAAACATTTATATAGCATGCTTGCGTTAAAATATTCCATTCCTCATTCTCTAACCATCCATCTTCAGGTCTTCACATTAGCTCAAAAAGTAGTAGTGAAACTTATAACGATGTTTCAAAGGAGCAGAGCTGCACGCACAGTACGTTCTTCGAACAACTACTACAACTCCTGCTTCTTGTCTGCATCTAGTCCCTTTTTTAAAAGGCATTACTCGCCCCTCCAATAAATCTATTGATACTTCAGTAAGCTTACTTATCTACTAATCAATCTTGCCTACAAGTCCAATTTCTCTACGAAGACAATGACGCCTCTGTACCTCAATTCTAGAGCGGTCATGCATTCCAGGGATCGACTGCATCAAATGGCTAGTCGGGTGATTGCCGAAATCTGATGAAACATAACCAACACGAAGGCGAGAAGCACCGTTGCGTACGCTCAAGCGATCCGGATAGTTGAAGGGTGGGTGACCCAACATTGCTACCTGAAATTTAGTTACAGCGCTAGCATCCAACCATTGCGAACAAGAGAATGCGAGTACTCACACCCACAAGTAGAAAAAAATCAAAATGAAATTTCGTCACTCTAAAAAAGGAACGAGGACTTGGTTAAAACCACTCCAAGTAAAAAAGTACTAGCTCAGAAATAGAAAAGTAGAACGTTAGCCATGAAGCTATTGTGTATAGTTCAAAACAACCGACAAGAGCTTACACTCAGACGCGTACATTGATATTGATTCATGATCATGGATCGTCCTAGAACTCCGCTCTCCTCTGAGGAAATTGTAGCTAGTGAAAAAGTTACTTGGAATGTATAAAATGTTATTCGACAACGCCCGCGCCAAGTATTAGCCCAAAAATTGGGCCGAGACCACCAGATAGTGTGGATGTGTTTAAATTTCGAGAACGCAGAAACAACCCCTAGTCAAGAGAAGACTTTCCATGCAAAATTTAGCTTACCTTTTCAATGCATAACTGAGCGTGTTTTGCAGCTATAGCTATTCGAGTCTGATGAGTTAATGGATAAAGCATCGAGTGGTGAGGATGCACCGAAGGTAGACGCTTCTTGCTCAGTTGCTCATCAACAATAGCCACCAATCGTTTCATACTAAAAAGTAAAGATTATTGAGGAAGCAAGGAGGTGATGAATCTGTACACCAGTTATCTTACCGATTTTCATAATCTGTCCAGTCACATATGATTTGAAGGCAGTGCGCAAGGTTACAAAAAGCATCAGGAAAGTCAGGTTTTAACTTCAGTGCTGTGGAATAACTTTGAATGGCGTCAGGAATATTACCAGAGTCCTGAATACAAGCATAATAACAGTTGTCACGAAAGTTTTCAAAGTCAAGGCCCTTACTTTGTGTATACTTGCTAGATTTGAATGGGCATCGGCAAAAGCAGGATTGATTTGTATGGCACGTGTGTAGCATTGCATAGCGTTTGCTGCATCTCCCATTTCCTTTAGTGTATTACCCATGTTTGAGTAGGCATCCGCAAAGGTTGGAGCAATTCGGATCGCTTCCTAAAACAGAAAATAGTACTTCTTGGATAGAAAATTATTCCTGTCCAAAGTGAGCTCAAGATCCCAAAGTTTTCGTGCTGCTCTGTTCTCAGTGTATATAAATCTAGTGGCTACACCACGAATAGCTTAACTTTGCAATTCAGCGAATTATCGTTGAACATCCCGCTAATGCTTTGCGCGAGATGACCGAATTAAGAGGTGTTAAAGTGGAAATCCATTCGTTACCGATACGAGAGCAGTGACAGGCACGTTACCCACTCAAAAATCTCCCATCCAACCAAAAAAGAGAAACTACCAGTTTAGCTTTTCACACCATACCAAACACCGCAATAGAAGAAGGTAAACCAACCTTGTAATGCAATATGGCTTCCTGAAGTTTTCCCTGTTGTTGAAGAATCGAGGCCAAGTTACTGTGAGCAGCCGCAAACTCAGGATATATCTAGAACGAAAAATTAAGGAAGATGGTCAGAGATGATCATAAAGTCCTTCACTGAACCGAGGTCGCTGATCAGAACAAAAAAGCAAGAATACCTCAAGTGCTTTAAGATAAAGCCGCGTGGCCTCTTCGATTTTTCCCTGTTCTCGCTTAATGTTAGCTAAATTGTTCTGGGAATCGGCATGTGTTGGACATAGCTGGAAAATGTGAAGGAAATCAAAAACCTACCAAGTCAATTCGTTTCTAAAATAGAAGGTAAAACGAAGCAAACTTACCCCAAGCGCAGTCATATAAGCGTTCTCCGCCTCTTGTACCAGGCCCTTCTCCTTCAGAGCATTTGCAAGATTGCAATAAGCATCTGGGAAATTTGGTTGCAGCTCAATTGCTCGACGATAAGTATCGATGGCCAAGTCAATCAACCTAAAATAGCCGTTACCTCTTCTTGATATCCAAGTTGGTAGCTGCTACAAAAGTGAACAACCAACTTACCCCTGTTCGTAATAAACACACGCTAGATTCCCATGAACAACGGCGTGGTTTGAAGCCAGATTAAGAGCACGAAGGTAGGCAGCAACAGCCCTACAAATAAGTTTCAAAGTTACCACAATACAAGGATGCTCATGAAGAGAGATAATCCAAATTACCTGTCAAAAATTCGGGCCTCCTTCAGAACATTTCCAAGATTGATGTATGCATCCAAAAAGTTTGGATCAAGCTGAACAGCCTGAAACGAGGAGAAGCAATGTTCGAATCACTGAGCTTTCACTTCATCATAATTTTCCAAGAATTTTATCATTGGCTGCATAAGACACGTATCGCCTTCCGTCTAATTTCTAATAGCTGAATCGGACTCCTTGATCGCGGGGAATAACATGCGAAGGAAAAGCATTCGCAACCGTGCTCATCGCTGAGCTACATATCCTCGACAGGGGTTTAGCGATATAGGATGCACTACCTGAAGGAAGGTAACCAACCTTCTCAAAGTGGTGGATTGCCAGCCAAATTTCACCCTGGGCATTGAACACGCAACCGAGATTAGACCAAGCCACAGCGAACTGTGGTTGCGTTTCAATAGCTTTCAAATAACATATCTAAATGTCATTAATTATCTTATTCAAAAAAACGTACAACACAAAAAGGCGACAACTAAGCATAAACTGGTTCTTCGGGAATATGTTTACCTTCGCATCTTCTAATCGACCCATTGCCTTCAGCAAATTTCCCAAATCACTGCGCACGCAATACAGCTCCTGAAATGCTACCCTCTAGGCCTGAGCCGAACAAAAAGGAGATATGAAAACAGACCGGATTGTAATTTAGTGCACTTAGATAAGCTGCAACGGCTTGATCCAGATCACCTCCAGCAACCAGAGCAGCGGCTAGGTTAATATACCCATCAATAAAATCTGGCTGAAATTAAGAATACTGACCATAAGGCATAGATATTGGGACCTATAGATTCATGCTCATGGGTGGGGGATCATCGAAGGTGATACAGCTGTTTTATTTATAAAATTACCTTCAGTCTGACTGCGTATTTATAGTTTTCAAGAGCTTCTGCTAGTTCTCCACGTTCTTTGAATACATTTCCAAGATTACTATAAGCTTCAGCGCATTGACTGTTAGCCTGGATTGCCATCGTTGAAAACTGCTTAGACCTGAAGAATTACTCCGAAAAGTTACTAGAAGTATAAGAAGTTCTGAAAAGAATTGAACACACATTAATATAGAGCACACATGTAGTGACTATTCATTCAGTTTGGGCTCTCTCCAAGCACAACACAAAGCAAAAAAGGATTATGCGCGTCATCCCCCTTCACTGCGCTCCACAGCCGCCGAGACGGCTTGATTGGACTGTTTCGTTGGACTAAGCTTGTTTTGAGTCCATTGCAAGGAGTCACTACTTATTTGCAGAACTGAAGATGTGGGGGATTACATGGTTCCGTGGAGTTCGGAACTTTGAAGTGGGAGCAGTACACATGTAATTGGCCAAAGGTGGCTCGAGGAAGTGCAAGAGTTACACTACTGTCCTTGAAGTTGGTGAAATTCCGAGCATCTCGCACGCGAGTTAAAATTCGCGCGCAAAATACGGCTGTTCTCACATAGCGGATTTCGCTGGCCGGGAATCTTGATACAGCAACCACCACGTTGTGATAGAGGAGACACCAGACGGTTAGGGAGAACATCATATCCAAGAAGCATCAGAAAACGACAGGCAAAAGTGGGTGATGAGTAGCATGGGTGAGAAGAGTCATGGGCGAGGGGTCAGAGCATGCCATTCCCGCTGGCATGTCGTAATCAGGATTTCGCACGTAGAGGTCTTGGTGGTATTGTCGGGATCCTTTTGCTTTAATATGTAAACTCATAATCTGTGCCATTGTCAGGCAGTAGAGTCCGCTACTTGGCTCATAATCTGTGCCATTGTCAGGCGTGGGTATGAGTGAATAGGAAACCTCTATTTATTCCTTTGCTTTTATCTGTTCTGTATCGATGAGCCTAAAGATCTGGCACACTCGTTCTGCAAGGGTCTCACCAACACCGAATTCAGCGGCTTGCTCGCTTTATAGAATCTTACTCCTCGAGTGGGATCAGCATGCGTTCGGCACGCTCAATGACCTGTTACCGGATCATTCAGTTTTGTAGAGTCTCAACATAGTACTTGGGTATCACCCATAGTCGACCTTAGATTTGTCACCCATCACATTCCATAAACTATCATCACAGTTTCCTTTTAAAATTTAGCAGGACGGCCTTCTCAATGACTTTTTCTGTTCTGATAGCTAGGAAAAAAAGTTGAAAAATTCTTACTTCTCGAGATTTTTTAATTGAAAATGAATCGAGGAGAGTAGTAAGAGCACGCTGACATTTGTACGATCTTGTTGATAAATCATGAGACAGTGCCGCTCAGCGTTAGCATAATCACCAGCTTGATACAGTCTATGTGCTTTTTCTGTGATGGCTGAAATAAAATACTATAATTTTAATGAAGTGAAATCCACCCTTTTGGATTTTTGCAATCCCTTTCAGGAGGGCTTACGCTAATCATCGGTAAAAATAAATTATGGAAAATTTTCCGCATTCAGAAGAAGACAATAACTTCGAAGGGATAACCGGAATTGAATTTCTCCTCTACAGAAAAATTCTGATCATGGAACCGGAAGAGTACTTTTTGAAATTTCTAGATGTTCTAGACTTATGAACTTATAGGTGGCGCAATAATACATATATAAACACTACGGTGCATTGTTTTTTATAACGGGACGTTTTACGTTTTTCGGACAGATGTTTCAATGATTTTGTCCCTTCAAAAGGTCAGCTAGCAATCTGATAAGAATGGTCTTGCCCCTATCCAGCATAACACAGTCTCTTCACAATCCGATAGCCACTTTATCGATGGGGTCAGGCTTTTGTCAATGTGGTTCTCTACTCCAACTTCACTGATGCACCGCGGACAAGCAGTTTGATACAGGGTTAATTAATGCCAGGCCGATCAGAGCGTTACACCATAGAATCCTGCCAGGAGCAGGAACAAATATTAAAATTCAGTTGTAAATTTGATTTTCTAAAATTAGGGCCGTAGAAAAAATTTATACAAAGCACTTGTACATATTACAAGTAGATTGTACACTTGGCGGAAGCCACATCGTTTGTGAACAACGACGAGGACTATTAATAGTGCATTCGATCTACCTTCTCCCTTCCAAATTGTGTGGATAGATCAATCCACACAACACTACTGGAGAGGCGCGCCGAAGTTGAACTCACGACCTTTCACGTCATGACCGCGCACGTTGGCGTTGAGCCACAGAGCTCACTGGCGGTAGAGACCGCAATGAACATTACGATACAGCATAACTTACCGGCAACATCCAAAGGTGCAAGATGAGACGGTCCCTGCATAGAAGTAGATGGCATATTCTGCATTAATGCTGCATTTTGAGCAGCCTGCTGAAAAGAATCAAGAGATAACGTTGCCAATTCCGTTTCACAGTCATAAAGAATATGGGTGTGGTCTTTCCCACGTCTTTGTTAGGAATTCAGGATCAGCGCCAATATTTATTTCTCACGTATCACTAACCCAACACCCTTTACCAGAAGTTCCACCTGCTTCTCATATGTGTTCCAGTAAATTGCACTCAGAAACCTAAATCAAAACCCCTATCTCAGGGCCACTGTCGTAGGTACTCAAAAAATGTCGATGATACCTTTTGAATAGCTGCCACCATGCTATTCAATTGGTGACTCTGAAGAGATGTCAATGCATGGGCAGATGGTGCCAATCCAGCGGCCAAGACAGGTTGTTGAGGTACAGCACCCGGTGCCAACTGTTCTCCAGTGGCTCCCACGAACTGAAACTGATAGCGTCGTTTATGGGTATCATATTTTAAAATCTAACAAAAATATTTGAATGCACTTAGGCTTTCAATCAAGGCTTCAGACAGTCAAGGGAGCATGGAAAAAGAATTCACCTTATTCAGGGACTGCTGTATCAGGAAGGCCTGTTTCGATGGATCCATGGACGATGCATTCACGGACCAGAAGGCCTGAATTAACATTCATATTGTTCAGTCTTGACAGAGGCTGCACTTTAATAAACCTACTAGGACATTGCAAAAAAATATCTAAAAATAAAAATTATCTACTTAAAATTATGTGTTGTGAAAATATTATCAGAAACAATTAATTTCTAAAGAAATGAAGTAGTCCGAGCTCTCAAAATTGAAATCTGACGAGTAGTTTCGATAAATATTTCCGAAAAATCGAAGTCACTACGAAGTTTAGTTGCAAAACTTTCAAATGCTGTGAAACCTTCATTTTTGCCTCCTTCATCCTTGATGTCACATTTTTCTTGAGTTCAACATAGCCTTTTTTAACACCCACCATCTTGCTGAACTCTAATAGGTAATGGCGAGATCTGCCGATACATGCTGACTACCTTTTCGTCATCAAGCCTGGTTTTTACAGCCGCTTTTCGATGAAGAAATAGTAATTTGTGGACCATTTCACGCTCAGTGAGGGCAGACTTCCTCATATTTTCACGGTAGGAAAGAAAGCACAAATTATCATCCATTAACATAATTTTTGTCCTTGTTTTCAACTCGGCTTACTTCTGCAGAGTTGGATTCAAGTTGAATGATTTTTTTCCGTTCGCCCTCCTGGCTGGTTTCCCAGCTTTTGTGAAATTCAAGACGACTTCGAGAGTTTTCAGCTTTTCTTCGGAGTTTCTGACCATTTGGATCGCTGTATACATCACATCTACTGCTATCTATAGCCCTGTTCTTCTTTTTTGACAATAGCGCATCAGAAGAGCTACGTTTTGACATTTACATAACCACAGTTCTACCTCAAGACCTGAAATTTATTCTATAGCTCTCCTGTTACATTCAAAGGGAAAACACTCGGTTCGGCTTTGCCACCACACACACCATGTAATAAAGGCACTAGAACTACATTTTCCGAAATGATACTTACTGCTAGTCCACCTTGTCCCACTTCCACGTTGCCTTAATAAGCCCTAAAAGTATCAAGTTTGCACGAAGCCGCTCAAAACCATTCTACCCTCGCAATTAAATAACAAAGTTCATCTCCTTTCTCTATCTGTCGCTTTGGAAATAAAACCATACGAACTATTATTTAGTCCTTCGCTTAAAATGAGACAACCCTCTTATGCCTGATTAGTGTCTACGAGGAAGAAAGTTCTCTTAAACTAGCTGAATGCCCTTCTCAATTTCAAGGATAAAAGGACAAAGTCTCGGAGCGATAATCTATCCCATCAGAGGGATGCACCCACGCATTCGACTTCCACCGAGAATCGTAATGGCACATTGAATGCGTGTGTGGCCTATACAATAACTTGGTGTGACCAGCCCATGTACTATTCCGTGCTTTATCCTCCCAAACAGTCTGACACCGACTAATCAACTCTGGGAAGATGGAAGGCTCGGTTGGCTTAGGTGGATACCGCTCGGGTTTCGAACCCCAGACCATGCATTTAAGGAATGCGCCGCTTGCCACTACATCACCTACGCCTTTTTTCTCAATGTTTCAGGAAGAACTGTGGAAAAAAGATCACTGTCAACAAGACGATTAAGAGACGACTTGAAAAATTATTACCATCAGGTTAGAAGCGGTCATGCTGAAGGATAGATATTGATAATTAAAGAGTATATGTTGCCGTTGGCGTTAGACGTTTGATTAAATAAAATTTCTGGTTTGGTTATTCTATTAGTGTAAAAGTCTTCTCAAACTGCTCATAGCTTTTTGCACACCATGGGCCACCCCAAGACGATATTTTCACAGCAAACCCTCATAGCATAGGCTAAACAAAGACTACGAGTGTTCTATTTTGAGTATTAGGTTCCTCTGATTCTGGAACAAAGGCAGTTACAGAGCTGTAAACCATCGGGTGTTTGTTTCGAGCTTTTTATGATTCCGAAGAAGCCAGCACAGCACAACAGCTGGCAGACTCAACGCATCTTGCGTCAGAGGATAGAGTTGGATTACTTCTAAAATTATTTCATACAGTGCTGAGCGATTTTCCAAAGAAAAAAGCTCGAATTGGAGATGAGAAGTAAAAAATAAGTTTTGTGCCCTGTGACTATTGTGCTTTGTTACAGAGCTCGCTATCTTTTGCAAGGT